AGAGAGTTAGAAACATCGATGAGAGAGAAACATCGATCAGCTGCCTCCTGCACACCTCCTACTGGGGATGTGCCCGCAACCAAGGTACATGCCCTTGACTGGAATTGAACCTGGGACCTTTCAGTCCGCAGGCCGACGCTCTATACACTGAGCCAAACCAGTTAGGGCTTTTTTTTTTTTTTTACAGTTGGAGAAAGAGCACAGAAGTGGATTCCCTCCTTGGGTGTGCATATGGGGGTTGGGAGAGGTACAACCCTACTGTGGCTTAGGAACCATTTTTTTCTCCTCCACCTCTGATTTGGGGTAGACTAGAAGCCTGAGGTTTTTAAAGAGGTGTGGCTCAGTGGTTGAACCAGGAGGTTAGGGTTTGATTCCTGGTCAGGGCACATGCCTGGGTTGCAGGCTCCATCCCCAGTAGGGGGCGTTCAGGAGGCAGCTGATCAGTGATTCTCTGTCATCATTGATGTTTCTATCTTTCTCTCCCTCTCTCTTCCTCTTTGAAATAAATAAAAATATATTTTTAAACATCAGTTGGAAAAATAAAATAGCCTTTGGAGTACAGCCTGTTTGGAGGTAGAAACACTTTTTCATGAGATGAATTCCCAGAACAATGGAGTCCCTGTGTGCTATGGTCCTACTAGCTCTCCTTTAAATGCACCCTAACATTACAGACAATGGCTATCTGATGAAGCCACCAGAGTAAACCATATACTCATTAGGAAGGCTATGGAGAAACTTACCTTTTTTCATGCTGCACTGACAATTCCACATTTCCTCCCACTAACAGGATAAGACTTAACTCTACAGCATCCTTTCAATAGCGGCATGAGTCATGGTTTCCCAACAATACTGATGGGATATCATATTATGAAAAGGAATCCATCCTAAACAACCCAAGTACCCATCAATAGACAAGTGGATAAAAAAAGCTGTGGTATGTATATACAAAGGAATATTACTTTGGAAATAAAAAAGAATGAAATCTTACCCTTTGTGACAGTATGGATGGACCTAGTATGTATGATGCTAAGTGAAATAAGTCAGACAGAGAAAGACAAATACCATATTATTTTACTTACATATGGAATCTAAAGAACAAAATAAATGAATAAACCAATAAGACACAGACTCATAAACACAGAAAACAGACTGATGGTCTGAGGGGAGGGGGTGGGGGGACTGGCAGAAAGAGATGAAGGGACTGACAAGTAAGGCTGATCGTTATAGAATCCTGGGGATGGAAAGTGCAGCATCGGGAATGCAGTCAACAACATTACGGTCACTGTGTGTGGTGCCAGGAGGGTACTGGCACTGCCCGGAGGGTCAGTTTGGAAAGTATGTGATTGTCTAACCACTATGCTCTGTACCTGAAAGCAATACAAAATAATATTAAAAGTAAACTGTGATTGAAAAACTTAAAAAAGGGGAAAAAAATAATCCATCCTTATAGTCAAAGGGCAGCATGTCCTGCATTGCTACGTTAACCTCGATGAAACCTTGCAGCCATTGACCTACAGGTTGAACGGCGGCCTTGAGAGATGGTCCTTAAATGCAACAGGCCTTTATTACGTTATAAAACAGAACATTCTGCCTTTGGAAAGCATTAACTATTAAGGAGGGCGAGTCCATA